TTTGATGAATTAATCTCTGTTCCAAGGTGAGCATTTTTAAAGAATTGGGGGTATCCTATTATGGGGGAGAATAGATATAAAGAGCTTCATCTTTGAAAATGCTATTGACCCTTCCTATAATCTTTTCTGTTAAGGCAATGATTGACAGTGATGACATCCAAACACAGGTCATTATCTACTTACAGAAAAATTTAGTGAGCAGGCTCCTGTCTTGTTGCAGTAATTGCCTTAGCTACAAGCTGGCATAAAATTTTAACAATGACATCTCATTGTTCAATCTACTCATGAAGATTTTGCTAGTATTACATAGTGTATTTGTCAGAAACATATGAAATATATCTTTCAAACACAAACACAAACAGATTCTTATATGAGTTGAAAGGAGTTGTCATAAACTAATTCCATCTCTTCTTTCTGAAAGGAGTGAAAAAAACAAAGAAGAAAAGCATCAAATATGTTGACATAATTAAGGACCTCCTGGCCAATCAAGAGGAATTGAATTCTTGATCTATTTCTCTAGAGAGTTAAGGCAAGAAAAGTTGACAGGAACTAAAAATGCAGGGAGTTGAGTTTAATGATTGAGAGGCAACAGAAGACACTGATTTTTGCAGCCTGAACTGAATACAAATTTGTGGGAGTTAACATGGTGGTTATTTATGAAGACTGATATAATGGGAACCAGGAAACATGACAGTTTGTCCTGGAATTAGTGAAGCTGTTTATCTTTAGGTACCAAAATCAATAGAAACACTATGAAGAGATTTTGAAAGAATTGTATCTACACAAATAATTCCCAAGTCCATGATTTCTGATGTGATTTCTTATAAGTTATTGTGTGGGTTTTTTGTTCTTTTCTGGAAAGACATGAGCAAGTGTCCTGTCTTGAAAGGGCACCATAGACAGGTCAAAGATTAAGTCCATCCAAATCTAGCTGTGTTAGCCAAAGAGTTTATTTGGGTTCCTTACAGGAGTGTAGGTGAAAGGTTGAAACTAAAGGCAACTTCTCACAGAAACATCATTACAGCATGGATGCTAGCTTATGGACACTGCACCCCGATGTTTCCTGCCCTACTCACAGTTCATTCCACCAAAAAGTTTGCAATGAAGACTCAGCAAGTCTTCATTGCTTATGAAGCCTGGGGAAGAGCCTCGGGTCTGGTAACTTTCTGAATTATCCAAGTCTTGTAAATTTGGTTAATATCTTAAGTGATGAACTTCTCTACCTTCTCGAAAAGGAAAAGTTTCAACTGGAGAACATAGCTCCAGAGCTTCTATTGCTTCCCTCAGCTCTACCGCTCTAGTTGCCTCTTTTCTACATCTCCTTGAGTTTTGGAGACTGTGTCAGTTTATATAGCTGCTTCATTGTTTTCTTCCGATTGTGGCAGAGAATTTGGTGTCTCCCCTCCAGCAGAATTCGCTTATCCTGAGCAGTTTGAATCGGTCTCTACAACAATGAGTCTCTACCAACAGCTTACAGAAGAAGTTTCCCTTCACAACTGAGGCTAACAGCAGCAGTAAACTCAAGCGAAGGCACAACTATTTAGAAGGACATTTTAAAGCATAGAACATCATTTTAACAAGGCAATGGTAGTGGCTTCTCAACTGGGACCTGACACTGAGAAGCTTACGGAAAAAAATAGATTTATTTTGTTCAAATTCTGGAGGTTTCAGAGCATGACAAGCTTGGTTTCAGATCTATTAAAAGACCCCCTGTCTGTGACATATGGTCTTCGTTATCATGACTGAATCATGAGCTAGAGCGAGAGAGAAATCACATAGTAAGTTAGGAAGAGAATGGGGAGGGGGAAGTCTTAATCTTTTCATTTACAGTAACTCTCCAGCACAAAATAAACAGAATCATACAAGATGCATACCAAACTCTTTCAAAGGCTTCACCCTTAACAACCTGAGACATCACATTAAGTCTCACTTCTTTTTTTAATTTTCTTATCTTTTTAAAATTGATTTTTATTGAGCTCTACATTTTTCTCTACTCACCTCCCTGCCTTTCCCCTCTTCTTTAACACTCTCCCAAGGTTCCTATGTTTCCAATTTACTCAGGAGATTTTGTCTTTTTCTACTAACTGTGTAGATTAGATCTATGTATGTTTCTCCTAGAGTCCTCATTGTTGTCTATGTTTTCTGTGATTGTGATTTGTGGGCTGTTTTTCTTTGCTTTATGTTTAAAACTACTTACGAGTGAGTACATGTGGTAATTGTCTTTCTGTGTCTGTGTTACCTCATTCAAAATGATGTTTTCTAGCTCTATCCATATTCCTGTAAAATTCAAGATGTCATTACCTTTTTCTGCTGTGTAAATGTACCACATTTTACTTACCCATTCTTCGGTCGCCAAACACTTAGGTTCTGGCTATGACAAACAATGCTGCTATGAACACAGTTGAGCACATGTCCTTGTGGCACAGTTGATCATCCTTTGGATGCGTACCCAAAAGTGGTACTACTGGTCTTGAGGAAGGTTGTTTCCTAATTTTTTGAGAAATCACCACACTGACATTAAACAGGGCTGTACCAGCTTGTATTCCCACCAGCAATGCAGAAGTCTTCTCTTTACCCCACAACCTCTCCAGCACAAGTTGTCATCAGTGTTTTTGTTTTTTTTAAATTTATTTATTTATTAAAGATTTCTGTCTCTTCCCCGCCGCCGCCTCCCATTTCCCTCCCCCTGCCCCAATTAAGTACCCCTCCCTCCTCAGCCCGAAGAGCAATCAGGGTTCCCTGACCTGTGGGAAGTCCAAGGAACCCCCACCTCCATCCAGGTCTAGTAAGTTGAGCATCCAAACTGCCTAGGCTCCCACAAAGCCAGTACGTGCAGTAGGATCAGAAACCCATTGCCATTGTTCTTGAGTTCTCAGTAGTCCTCATTGTCCACTATGTTCAGCGAGTCCGGTTTTATCCCAGGCTTTTTCAGACCCAGGCCAGCTGGCCTTGGTGAGTTCCCAATAGAACATCCCCATTGACTCAGTGTGTGGGTGCACCCCTTGCGGTCCTGAGTTCCTTGCTCGTGCTCTCTCTCCTTCTGCTCCTGATTTGGACCTTGCGAATTATGTCCGGTGCTCAAATGTGGGTCTCTGTCTCTGTCTCCTTTCATTGCCTGATGAAGGTTAATATTCAGGAGGATGCCTATATGTTTTTCTTTGGGTTCTCCTTATTTAGCTTCTCTAGGATCACTAATTATAGACTCAATGTCCTTTGTTTATGGCTAGAAACCAAATATGAGTGAGTACATTCCATGCTCCTCTTTTTGGGTTTGGCTTACCTCACTCAGGATAGTGTTTTCTATTTCCATCCATTTGCATGCAAAATTCAAGAAGCCCTAGTTTTTTACTGCTGAGTAGTACTCTAATATGTATATATTCCATACTTTTTTCATCCATTCTTCCATTGAAGGGCATCTAGGTTGTTTCCAGGTTCTGGCTATTACAAACAATGCTGCTATGAACATCGTAGAGCATATACTTTTGTTGTATGATAAGGCCTCTCTTGGGTATATTCCCAAAAGTGGTATTGCTGGGTCCAGGTGTAAGTTGATCCCGAATTTCCTGAGAAACTGCCACACTGCTTTCCAAAGTGGTTGCACAAGTTTGCATTCCCACCAGCAATGGATGAGTGTACCCCTTTCTCCACAACCTCTCCAGCAAAGGCTATCATTGGTGTTTTTTATTTTAGCCATTCTAACAGGTGTAAGATGGTATCTCAGAGTTGTCTTGATTTGCATTTCCCTGATTGCTAAGGAAGTTGAGCATGACCTTAAGTGTCTTTTGGACATTTGAACTTCTTCTGTTGAGAATTCTCTGTTCAGCTCAGTGCCCCATTTTATAATTGGGTTGATTCGCTTTTTACGGTCTAGTTTCTTGAGATCTTTATATATTTTGGAGATCAGACCTTTGTCAGTTGCAGGGTTGGTGAAGATCTTCTCCCAGTCAGTAGGTTGCCTTTGTGTCTTAGCGACAGTATCCTTTGCTTTACAGAAGCTTCTCAGTCTCAGGAGGTCTCATTTATTCAATGAAGTCCTTAATGTCTGTGCTGCTGGGGTTATTCGTAGGAAGTGGTCTTCCGTGCCCATGTGTTGTAGAGTACTTCCCACTTTCTAATCTATCAGGTTCAGTGTGTTCGGACTGATATTGAGGTCTTTAATCCATTTGGACTTGAGTTTTGTGCATGGTGATAGATATGGATCTATTTCCATTCTTCTACAGGTTGACATCCAGTTTTGCCAGCACAATTTGTTGAAGATGCTCTCTTTTTTACATTGTATACTTTTAGCTCCTTTATCGAAAATCAGGTGTTCATAGGTTTGTGGGTTAATGTCAGGGTCTTCTATTCGATTCCATTGGTCGACTTCTCTGTTATTATGCCAATACCAAGCTGTTTTCAATACTGTAGCTCTGTAGTAGAGTTTGAAGTCAGGGATGGTAATGCCTCCAGACGATCCTTTGTTGTATAAGATTGTTTTGGCTATCCTGGGTTTTTTGTTTTTCCATGTAAAGTTGATTATTGTCTTCTCCAGATCTGTGAAGAATTTTGATGGGATTTTGATGGGAATTGCATTGAATCTATAGATTGCTTTTGGTAGAATTGCCATTTTTACTATGTTGATCCTCCCAATCCAGGAGCAAGGGAGATCCTTCCATTTTCTGGTGTCCTCTTCAATTTCTTTCTTCAAAGACTTAAAGTTCTTGTCAAATAGATTTTTCACATCCTTGGTCAGAGTTACCCCAAGATATTTTATGCTATTTGTGGCTAGCGTGAAAGGTGATGCTTCTCTAATTTCCCTCTCTGTTTTCTTATCCTTAGTGTATAGGAAGGCCACTGATTTTTTGGAGTTGATCTTGTATCCTGTCACATAACTAAAGATGTTTATCAGCTGTAGGAGTTCTTTGGTAGAGTTTTTGGGGTCGCTTATGTATATTATCATATCATCTGCAAAAGAGAGCAAAGAAAAAATAAAATATGACTTTTCCTGTGAGCTCTACAGAATGTCCACCTACTCGGCTTTCCCCGCTGGGGTTCCTGTCTCGGAAAGGAGCCTGGCTCGCGCTGGCTTTTATTACACGGGTGTCAATGACAAGGTCAAGTGCTTCTGCTGCGGCCTGATGCTGGACAATTGGAAACAAGGGGACAGCCCTGTTGAAAAACACAGACAGCTGTACCCCAGCTGCAGCTTTGTTCAGACCCTGCTTCCATCTGGTCTGCAGTGCCCGCCTAAGGTCACAGCCCCTGTGAGAAGTGGGTTTGTACGTTCCTTACCTCTGGAGCAAGGAGGAAGTTATTCCAGCTCGTCCTCAAACCCTCTTCACTCCAGAGCAGTGGTAGACTGCCCGTCCAGGACGAGTCCCTGCAGCTATGCCATGACTACCGAAGAGGCCAGATTTCTTACTTACAGTGCGTGGCCTTTAAGCTTTCTGTCACCAGCAGAGCTGGCCAGAGCCGGCTTCTATTACATAGGACCTGGAGACCGGGTGGCTTGCTTTGCCTGTGGTGGGAAGCTTAGTAACTGGGAACCGAAGGATGACGCTATGTCAGAGCACCGGAGACATTTTCCCAACTGTCCATTTCTGGAAAATTCTTCAGAAACACAGAGGTTTAGTGTATCAAATCTGAGCATGCAGACTCACACTGCTCGAATGAGGACGTTTTTGTACTGGCCGTCTAGTGTTCCTGTCCAGCCCGAGCAGCTGGCAAGCGCTGGATTCTACTATATGGGTAAGATGTTAGCGGAGAACTAGAGTTTTATTAGCTTGTTTATGGGAATACACATGAGTCAGTTTCTGGCCTTTTTTTTTCTTGTTTAGATCGCAACGATGATGTCAAATGCTTTTGTTGTGATGGTGGCTTGAGGTGTTGGGAATCTGGAGATGACCCCTGGGTAGAACATGCCAAATGGTTTCCAAGGTAATTGGTTCTTTGTTTTATGTTGAGACAGGGTTTCTCTGTGTAGCCTAGGCTGTCCTGAAACTAGCTCTGTAGACTCAGACTGGCCTTGAACTCAACAGCTGCGGGCCTGCCTCTGCCTCCCGGAGTGCTTGGATTAAAGTTTTTGTCAGTGCAGCTTTCTTCTTTTCCGATTCGAATCCCCTTGATCCCCTTATGTTGTCTTATTGCTATTGCTAGAACTTCAAGCACTATATTGAAGAGGTATGGAGAGAGTGGACATCCTTGTCGTGTTTCTGATTTTAGTGGGATGGCTTTGAGTTTTTTTTTTCTGTTTAATTTAATGTTAGCTGTCGGCTTGCTGTAAATAGCTTTTATTATATTTTGGTATGACCCTTGTATCCCTAATCTCTCCAAGACTTTTATCATAAAGGGGTGCTGGATTTTGTCAAATGCTTTTTCAGCATCTAATGAAATGATCATATGGTTTTTTTCTTTCAGTTTATTTATATGCTGGATTACATTGATAGATTTTCGTATGTTGAACCAGCCCTGCATCTCTGGGATGAAGCCTACTCAATCATGATGGATAATTTTTCTAATGTGTTCTTGGATTCAGTTTGCCAGTATTTTATTGAGAATTTTTGCGTTGATATTCATGAGTGAAATCGCCTATAATTCTCTTTCTTGGTTGGGTCTTTGTGTGGTTTTGGTATCAGGGTAACTGTAGCTTCATAAAAGGAATTTGGCAATGACTCTTCTGTTTCTATATTGTGAAATACATTAAGGAGTATAGGTATTAGCTCTTCTTGGAAGTTCTGGTAGAATTCTGCATTGAAACCATCTGGTCCTGGGCTTTTTTTCGAAGGGAGATTTTTGATAACAGTTTCTAGTTCTTCGCGACTAACAGGTCCATTTAGATCGTTCACCTGGTCTTGGTTTAGCTTTGGTATATGGTACTTATCTAAAAAAATGTCCATTTCATTTGCATTTTCTAGTTTTGTGGCATACAGGCTTTTGTAGTAAGATCTAATGAGTCTCTGAATTTCCTCTGTGTCTGTGGTTATGTCCCCCTTTTCATTTCTGATCTTATTTATTTGCGTGTTCTCTCTCTGTCGTTTAATTAGTTTGGATAGGGGTTTGTCGATCTTGTTGATTTTCTCCAAGAACCAACTTTTTGTTTCATTGATTCTTTGGACTGCTTTCTGTGTTTCTATTTTGTTGATTTCAGCCCTCAGTTTTATTATTTCCAGTCTTCTACTCCTCCTGGGTGCGTCTGCTTCTTTTTTTTCTAAAGCTTTCAGGTGTGCTGTTAAGTCTCTGATATATGCTTTCTCTGTTTTCTTTAAGTGGGTACTTAGTGCTATGAACTTTTCTCTTAGGACTGCTTTCATAGTGTCCCACAGGTTTGAGTATGTTGTCCCTTTATTTTCATTAAATTCAAGGAAGACTTCAATTTCTTTCTTGATTTCTTCCTTGACCCAGGTGTGGTTCAGTAGTTGACTGTTCAGTTTCCATGAGTTTGTCGGCTTTCTGGAGGTAGGATTGTTGTTGAATTCCAACTTTAATCCGTGGTGATCTGATAAGACGCAGGTGGACAATGATATTTTTTTGTATCTGTGGAGGTTTCCTTTGTTTCCGAGTATGTGGTCAATTTTCGAGAAGGTTCCATGAGTTGCAGAGAAGAAGGTATATTCTTTCCTATTTGGGTGGAATGTTCTATAGATGTCTATTAAGTCCATTTGTTTCATTACCTCCAGTAGTTCTCTTACTTCTCTATTAGGTTTCTGTCTGATTGACCTGTCCATTGCTGAGAGAGGTGTATTGAAGTCTCCTACTACTAGTGTGTGTGGTTTGATGTTTGCCTTGAGTTTTAGTAATATTTCTTTTACATAAGTGGATGCTTTTATATTAGGGGCGTAGATATTCAGGATTGAGATGTCATCCTGACGAATTGTTCCTGTTATGAGTGTAAAGTGTCCCTCTCGATCTCTTCTGATTGATTTTAGTTTGAAGGCAGTTTTGTTAGAAATTAATATGGCCACACCTGCTCTTTTCTTAGGACCATTTGCTTGAAAGACCTTTTCCCAACCCTTTACTCTGAGTAGATGCCTGTCTTTGTGGTTGAGATATGTTTCTTGCAAACAGCAGAATGTTGGATCCTGTTTTCGTATCCAATCCCTTAGCCTGTGCCTTTTTATAGGTGAATTGAGACCATTAATATTAAGTGATATTAATGACCAGTGGTTGTTTACTCCAGATATTCTTATTGTTTTTGGAAGTAGAATTTGTGTGTCTCCCTTCTTTGAGTTGTGCTAGTGAAGGGTCGCTAGATGCCTCAGTTTTTGTAGGCATTGTTGGCAATGTTGGATTCCTTGGGTTGTGATTTTCCTTCTATTACTTTCTTAGGGCTGGATTCGTGGCTACGTATTGTTTAAATTTGTTCTTATCCTGGAATGTCTTGTTTTCTCCATTTATAGTGAATGAAAGCTTGGCTGGGTATAGTAGTCTAGGCTTGCATCCATGGTCTCTTAGCTTCTGCAGTACTTCTATCCAGGACCTTCTGGCTTTCATTGTTTCCATAGAGAAGTCAGGTGTAAGTCTGATCAGTTTACCTTTATAAGTTACTTGGCCCATTTCCTTTGCAGCTCTTAATATTCTTTCTTTAACCTGTATATTTTGTGTTTTGATTATTATATGGCGAGGAGATGTTTTTCTTTGATCCAGTCTGTTTGGTGTTCTGTATGCTTCTTGAATATTCAAAGGAATATCTTGATGTTGGGAAAGTTTTCTTCCATAATTTTGTTAAAAATATTTTCTGGGCCTTTGAGCTGTGACTCTTCTCCTTCTTCTATTCCTATTATTCTTAGGTTTGGTCTTTTTATTGTGTCCCATAATTCCTGAATGTTTTGTGATGAGAATTTGTTGGCTTTGCAGTTTTCTTTGATCAGTGCGTTTATTTTCTCTATGGTGTCCTCAGAATCTGAGATTCTTTCTTCTATTTCTTGTATTCTATTGATTATGCTTGTTTCTGTAGGCTCTGCTCATTGACCTAGATTTTCCATCTCCAGCTATTCCTCATTTTGTGTTTTCTTCCTTGCTTCCATTTCAGTTTTCAATTCTTGAACTGTTTCCATTACCTGTTTGATCATTCTTTCTTGGTTTCCCAGGGTATTATGTACGTATTTACTCATTTCTTCAAATTTTTGGTTATACTTCTTATCCATTTCTATAAGGGCATTTTTCACATGTTGTTTAAGGGACTCAATTGCTTTCATAAAGTCAATTTTTTCCACTTCTTCTGTGTTAGGGTGTTGAAGACCTTCTGTTGTAAGATCATTGGGTTCTGGTGTTTTCATGCTGATTTTCAGATTATTGGGTGAATTCTTGCCTTGGCACCTGCCCATCTCCTCCTATCGATGCTATCTATAGGGTCTTTTAAAACTGGTTCAGGTTTCCCTGCTGGCCAGGGGCTCCTCTTACAAAATGCCCTCACTCTGTTTCCTGGTTCCTGCCGTGGGCCAAGATCCCTCTCACCCCTCAGAAGGGTCTTCAGGAATAGGACCCAACTCCTCCTTTGCCAGGGACCTCGCCAACCAAAGGCCTACCTCTTTGATTTAATTGTAGTGGGGCTATCTGCTCTCGGTGTTGCGCATGGTCTCAGTAGCCTGCGTCTGCTGCCACGAGGGTTCCCGCCACCTGCGGCCTGTGTCCTCTGCTGCTGCTCCAGTCCCACCTGGTCCCAGCTGGTCCCAGCCTGCCCCCACCGGCCGCCTCCACCGGCCGGGTTCCGGCTGCCTCCGCCGTCCCGTCATCAGTGTTTTTGATCTTGGCCATTCTTACAGGTGTAAGATGAAATCTCAGAGTTGTTTTAATTTGCACTTCTCTGATGACTAAGGATATTGAACATTTCTTAAATGTCTTTCAGCCATTTTAGATTCCTCTTTTGAGAGTTCTCTGTTTAAGTCTGTACTCCATTTTTTAAAATTGGATTATTTGTTCTTTTGATGACCAAATTCTTGAGTTCTTTGTATATTGTGCAGATCAGACTTCTGTCTGATGTGGGGTTAGTGAAGATTTTTTTCCATTATGTAGGCTGTCCAAATGGATCAAAGACCTGAACATAAAACCAGCCATATCAAACCTTATAGAAGAGAAAGTGGGAAATACACTTGAACACATTGGCACAGGAGACCACTTCCTAAATATAACCCCAGTAGCACAGACACTGAGAAAAACAATTAATAAATGGGTCCTCCTGAAACTGAAAACCTTCTGTAAAGCAAAGGACATGGTCAACAAGTCTCACTTCTTAAAGCTTCCAAGGCATACCCCAGTACTCTTGCCCTGAGGACCAAGCTTCCAAACCTATGACCCCTAGAAGGACCCCTTGAAATGATATCCAAACTGTAGTAACTGGGTTTCATTTCAAATTTTAAGTTTTTAAAATAAATTATATATTAACTCTTTAGAATAATTGGAGTTCATAAAATAATTCAACTGTCAAGACTTCGTATATAGAATCTATTCATATTTTCATTTAAATCCAGCTGAGATGTTTAGACACAGTTTGGTGTTACCTAATCAAATTACCTAAAAAAAAATAATAGTAAGCAGGCGTTTATGAAACATACGTAAGAATTCACAATTTTGACTTCCAGGTATCCTCTTCTCTTCAGGTGATTTGCTTTCTTGTTCTTCCATCACTTTAAATGGAAAAGCTTCATTGAAGAGTTGTCTTTTAATTTTCTTTTAAATGATGCAAGGAATCATTATGCTTAATAGATCTAAATGACTTGTGTCTCACATCTTTGCAGCTGAAGAGAAACTGGGCTAGTAGACAGGAGATTTTGATGACAGGGTTATACTAATTATATATTCTGTAATTGATTGTGGCAATTTATTCTACTGATAGAGAAATATGTGGGTATTATTTCTTTGAACATCTGAATTATAATAAGTAAACATCTTCAAAGTATGTTTTTGAAATGAGGTATCTCTGTCTTTGGTTTTTACATTACACGA